AGAACCCCCAAATCTCTAGACATTAATTTAGGGCCCCCCCCCAAAATAATGTCAGGCAACCACAGGCATTGGTACATGTTGATATCATATTAAAAAGAAACACAATCATTTCAGTAGACACAACTTCTTAGCAAATGGATGCCTTTGAAGAAAAGGAAGAGGCACCAGAGGTTGTAGAAGCAAAGAAGAAGGCAGAGGAAATTTTGAGGCAAGCACAGTTGAAGGCTGAGGAGATTTTGAAGGAAGCAAAGGCTACTTCACAGGAACAGCCATTAGTAAAAAGACAGCTTTCAGACCAGTTCAAGACACCAAACAGACCCACAGGAGCCTTTAAGAGCCCAACTTCCAGCAGAGAGGATCTTGTAGAGAGCCAGCCTTCACCCACTTCCAGCTCACCTTTGTCTCAGTATGGGTTGGAGAAATTTTTTGGTAGCCCAAAGGAGCAGGCAGAAGCAAGACCTGTTTTAGAGAAGAAGGTTTTAGGGAAAGAAAGAAAAAGGTCTTTGAGAGAGGTTGAATTAGCTGAGTTGAAGGACCAGTACACAAAGAGATTGAACGTAATGGAGGAGTTGGAGGAAGAGCAAAGAATTGTTTTGAGTCCTGAGGAAAGGGGAAAACTTGGAGGCAGACCCATGGTTGCAGAAAAAAGCAATGCAGGATTGAAGAGCAACAGGAAGAGAGCAGGGCAGCCTTCAAGGAGAAAGGAGCTTTCTGTTGTAGAGAAGGTCAAGATAGCAGAGGATTTGGAGGCAATGCAACAAGGATCTTCCAGCAGCAAGGAACTTTTCAAGAAAGGCAGGACCAGGTATGGCTTAGACACCAGGACCTTGAAGGACATCATGTCCAAGAAAAAGGTGTTTGAGAAACAGAAGGGGCAGTTGAAGATGAAGAGAGGCAGGGTTGTAGGCTCAAGATTTGTCAGGGCAAAGGGCGCAGGCAGAAAGTTGGAATTTGAGAAGGAGATTACAAAGGTCAAGGACATGGTTTTGAAGGAGAGGTCCAATGGAGTTGTACTTGCAAAGGGTGATCTTCTAGATGAATTTCTAGCGCAGTTGGTGTCTTCAGCCCAAGAATCCTTGAAGAAGGCAGAGCTTTCCCAGAGTGAGATCCAGAAGAAGACCTGGGAACTTGAAGCAAAGCAGTACTTTGCCAGAAGGGACAAACTTCTAGGAAGCAAGAAGTACAGACAGTCTTTCACCACTAGGCTTTTGGAGTACTGTGGTTCAAAGGAAGTCAAGAAGGAGTTGACAAGCCCTTTGAGTGCTTTTGAAGAGAAAACGCGTTGCCAACTCTCTTGGCAAGCCATAGACAGACAGCTGTGGCTTGCAGGTGCTGCTCCTGAGGAAGATGTCTTGAAGTCCAATGTCTTTGCAGATCCCAAGTCTGTCTTGAAGCCTGGAGTCAGGGAACTTCTAACCATTGGCTTTTCAGACCAGGTCCCACTTTGGGCCAAGGCTGAGAGTTCAAAAATGGTGGTTTCTAGTGAAGAGCTTTCAGGCATCACAACTCAAGACAGGAAACAGTTTCAGCTTTTCAGGAAAGATTTGAAAGAAGCTGTTGATTTCTTCAATCCAGAAAAGGATTCAAGCCAAGAGGTGACCTTAGAAGGCAAAACCAAAGATGCAGGTGTAAGGAGGATTGCAGGCAGCTTGACAGCCAAGGGACTTGCAGAGAACTCCAAGTTCAGAATCACTTATGAATCACGCCAAAGGATTGTAGGCTTGCCTGTTGGGAGTGATGGAGTTACAGGTGAGGTTTCAGCAGGTTTGCTTGTGTTTCCTGGGGTTCATGCCAGGCTGTCAAATCTTGACAGCAAAGGCAGGTGGCTTAAAAGAGAGGAGTTTGAGGTTGCAGGGCAAAGGATTGTTCATGAGAAAGGGGAGCTTTCCAGAGCTTTGAAGTGGGCTGTTGCTTTGAGGAATGAAGCTCCTGAACTCTTTGAAGGCAAACTTGACATTATGAGTCAGCCCAGCTGCAACCTTGACAGTGTTCTCTTGAAGTGGGTCATTGAAGAACAAATTGAACAAGAGCCACTTTCAGTTTGGGTCAGAGACTCCTTTGCAGCCATCTTTACAGATGAGATTAGAGAAACCCAATCCATTGGAAACCAAGCTTCTGCAATTCTTTTAGGAAAAACAACACAAAGATTGCAGTTGACTGACACAGATTTTGCCAAAGCCTTCAAGGCTGATTTCAGGAAGGCTCTTGCAGAGAAGAGGAGTTCTCACAGACTTGAAGGCAAGGAGGACTCTTTCAAGATCAGCTACAGGACAGTGATTGAAGCCACCCTTCAAGCCCAGGAGGCTGCAGTCAAAAGAAACTTGGATACCTCATGGGTGATTAGAGGAGCCTTCAGGAATGGACTTGTCATTTATAGACCTGATTTGAAGAGTGGGACTTTGAAGCCACTTGAAGCAAAGGATTGTGGTCTTGAAGAGCTGGACCTTGGGAGCCACAGAATTCCAAGTGAGTGGATGTTTCCTAGGAAGAGCTGGTTGAAGGAAGGCATTCCAGTGGAGCCAGAGTTCAGTTTGAGCCAGGCAGCCACCACAATTCAGCAGGTTTTAGATTGGGCTGCTTACACAAACCCTGCCCTTGAAGATGAGGCAGACAATCCTGTGGACATGGATGGTGCGATTGAAGAGTCTTTGGGGCTTGGTTTGAAGAATTCCTTGTTTTTGACACTTCATCCAAAGGTCAGGAAGGCAGCCTTTCTAGCTCAAAAGAATGCAAAGTTTCAAGATGTACTTGAGAAGTCCAAAGAAAAAGCTTCAAGACTTCAAGCAAGGTCTAGTTTGAGATCTGGTTTGTTGAAGAAGGTCAGGGAGAAGCTTAAAGGAATGAGCAAAAAGGAGGCAATTGAACAGGTGGTTGCCAAGAGCACTGCAAGTAAGAAGAAAGTTTCAGCAATCTTCAAGCCATCTGCCAAAACCAAACCATGCTTCTTGAAGAAAGTCGCGAAGAAACACTTGAAGAAAAGCCTCAAGAAAGCTGATGTGTTGAAAGAGGCAGACAAACTCCTTCCAGCAGCATTGAAGGATGCAAAGGACAAGGAAAAGAAGACAGCAATGGTTGAAGCTGAAGGGGAGATGGTTCTTTGTAGAATTGTTGAAGAAATTGAAGGGAAAGGGAAGTATGGGAAAGAAGGGATGGTTAGTGAGGCTTCCTTGGGGATGGATGGGGATTTGCAGTGCGAAGTCATTGCAGACAAGCACCAAAAGTTGAGTTGCAAAGTTTCAAGCATTATCAAAAAGGATCCAGACTGGCTTCCAGTCAAGGAGTGGATACCTTTCACAAAGCTTTCTAGAAAGAAGAAAGGTGAATCCCTTTTCATGATGGGCTTGAAGCCAGAACCTTTTGCAGACAATGGAGATGATTTGATAGACCTTCCAGACAAAGATGAAAACTTTGAGTCTCAGCATATGCTACTTGGCTTTGAGCTTTTGAGTTGGCAGTTCCAGGACTACATGAAAGAGGTGGCCTTCATAGATCCCTTTCTGACCACCATGTATTTGAGAGAGGAGGATGTTCCACAAAGAGATTTCTTGAAGAAAAGGATTGAAAGCTTTGGGGAATCAGATTCGCGTTTGCTTCTTTGTCCAATTTGGAGCAATGAGACAGTGTTCCATTGGACTCTACTTACAGCTGAGAGGCTTGAACAGAATCAGAAGTGGACTTTCAGGTACAGGGATACCCTTGCAGCCCTTCCAGAAGATTGCAGGAAGAAGGCTTCCATTATAGCCAGCCTCCTGCAGAAGGAAGAGGTTTCTTTGAAAGTTTGCAACTCCTTCCAGCAAGTTGGAAGCACATGTGGGCTTTGGACTCTTGCTTACATGCTGTCAGAGGTTTGCAGCTTGTTTGAAGGCTTGGCTTCCAGAGGGCACCCAGAGATTGGCTCATTGAAGGCCAAATTTTCAGCTTGGTGGCATCAGCTTTCAGCAGAGCAGAAAAAACTTCAAGAAATCAAGGAAACAGTTGAAGAGAAGTCCAAAAAGATTGCAGACCAGCAAGAGAAAGCCAAGACCAAGGCATTGGAGCAACTCTCCAAATTGAAGAGTCATACCAGTGCTGCAGCCATTAAAGCTCAAGAGATGCTTGAAGCCAATAGCAAGTACTTCAAGCTGCAGCATTTGAGTGCGGATTCAAGGTACAAGATTGAAGGAACCATTTCAAAGGGAAACCTTTGTTCCAAGTGCAGGTGGAACAGTGGGTGTTTACAGTGCCACCCAGGCAAAGCTTTGAAGTACTATTGGAGCAAAGAAGCACATGAAAAGAGCCTTGTTCCAGGTCCAGATCTTCCAGAGAAGTGGGACATCCTTTCAGGAGACAGGGGGTGAAAACAAACACCAGCAAAACACCAGCAAGCAGCAGCAAAACAAACACCAACAACACAAATGTCAATGGACATCTGCATCCAAAGACCTTCAAAATCCACAAAATCTCAATGGAAATCTCCAATTCCTAAAG